CTGGGCTTTGTTGTCACCGGCTCACATGTGCAGGTCGGTTCGATGCCTCGTCGTTTAACATCCATTTGCCTGCATTCGGATTGCTCTCAAGAGGGATGGGGCTGCATCTTCTCAGGCCAGGTCGCTTGGTGTGCAATTGCCGTCCGAAAGCGCCTTCGCTATTAAGGGGGTAGGTACACTGGACAGCCTCGGGCCGAGATGCCAGCGCACGCTCGGCAGATTCATACGCCGCGCCCCCAGGCGCGAGGCAACAGAGGCTGCGCCCTGCCAAAGACACCTTGACACCCAATTGACACCCAAGACACGGCACCTGACCCGACCCGCGATTGACATGGCCTGGACAGGGCCTTGACATGGCATTGACATGACATGGACATGCCATTCGGAATGATCCCCTCTCGACATTGCAACCATCCCATCGAAAAGGCACTCTTGACATCTTGTCATTCTGCGACACAGTCAGCATTGTGACATGGGCCCGTTCTGATTAGCATCTCGGACGCTTTAACATTGGAATTTACCATTCCGCACCATCCCCCCGACATTCATCCATACTCCCTACCTTCAGGATAACGGCCACAAATTTCAGCGTCCCAACAATTAGGCACCTCCTCCGAATAGCGGGCGACGGGGTCTGACAGATACCGCCCCTATTTTCCGTGAAGGTTGACCGACTCGCGGACAAAGATCCTGTGTCAGATTGCGTTGCCACCGCCTCCAAAAAGTCACACGCGCCTCCAGAGTGCTCGAGCTTTCTCCGCCTGCAAACCTAAAGCCTCCCTATACCATCCTCACCGTTTGATCCAGTCCATCTCTCTTTCATAAACAAACACCAAGGAAGGAGAAAAAAAACCCCCCCCGAAAACGGCCAACAACTTTGCATTCTGGATTCCTGAACGACGGCGAAACGCCCCTCTCCATCAACGACACAGATTGTAACCGCTTTCCGGTGGCCTGACTCAATAACCATGGTACGTCCATCGCCCACTACTACCCCAAATTACGATAAAGCCCCGCATGGCGATGCGCAGGGCTCACGGCGTCGGCAGCGAAAGGCAAGGGCACACCTCACGCAGCGCTCTTTTCCCCCCATCAACACGACGACGACGACGACGACCAGTCCAGAGAAGCCGACTCGCACCGCACCCGCCGCCGTCGCCGCCGCCTGCTGCTCTCCTCCATGACGACCGCTAACATGACCGCGCCCCAGGACCTCCGCGTCGGCAACAAATATCGCATCGGCCGCAAGATCGGCTCCGGCTCCTTCGGCGACGTCTACCTCGGCACGAACATTATCTCGGGCGAGGAGATCGCCATCAAGCTCGAGAGCGTCAAGGCGAAACACCCGCAGCTCGAGTACGAGGCCAGGGTCTACAAGTCGCTCGCCGGCGGCGTCGGCATCCCGTTCGTGCGGTACTTTGGCGTCGAGAGCGACTACAATGCCATGGTCTACGACCTGCTGGGCCCCAGCCTCGAAGACCTCTTCAACTTTTGCAACCGCAAGTTCTCGCTCAAGACGGTGCTGCTGCTCGCCGACCAGCTGCTGTCGCGTATCGAGTACGTGCACGCCAAGTCGTTCCTCCACCGCGACATCAAGCCGGATAACTTCCTCATGGGCATCGGGAAGCGCGGGAACCAGGTGAACGCTATTGATTTCGGCCTCGCGAAGAAATACCGCGATCCGAAGACCCATTTCCATATCCCCTATCGGGAGAACAAGAACCTGACCGGCACCGCGCGCTACGCGTCCATCAATACACACCTCGGCGTTGGTACGTTGTACACCACCTCGCACTCTCCCCCCGACCCTTTCCTTCCATTCTACCACAAGGCAGCAAGCAGCCTACTTCCTCTCTATACGCCCTACCTCCCCCCACCCCCCGAGCCGCCCAGCTAACGTCCCTCCCCGTGCAGAACAAGCCCGTCGCGATGACATGGAATCCCTCGGCTACGTGCTCCTCTACTTCAGCCGCGGCTCGCTCCCCTGGCAAGGCCTCAAGGCGGCGACGAAGAAGCAGAAATACGACCGCATCATGGAGAAGAAGATGACGACGCCCACCGAGATTCTCTGCCGCGGCCTGCCGCACGAGTTCGCCATCTACCTCAACTACACGCGCTCGCTGCGCTTCGACGACAAGCCCGACTACAGCTACCTGCGCAAGCTGTTCCGCGACCTCTTCGTCCGCGAGGCTTCCAGTACGACTACGTCTTCGACTGGACCGTCTACAAGTACCAGAAGAACACCCAGGCGCTCCAGGCCATTGCCGAGCG